TGCTTGTTACCATTTATATAAATTTTAAGTTCCAAGTAAATATCTGGTCTGGTTTAATTATAAGAGTAAATAAATTTAAAGACATAAAAATGGACTTAACTTTTCCAAAATACAATACAAAGTTATCCCCCCCCCCCCCACACACACACCCACACTTTTTTTAGTTATGAAACTTGACCTGCATATCTTACTTGCGACACTTCGTATATATTTGAAGTTTCAAATGATTATCTCTGTTCTAGTTTTAGAAATATTCAAGTACATGTTAAAATTTCAGAACATTTTCTAAGTCAATTTTTGACCTTTAAGTGTGGTCTTGACCTTAACTTGGCACAAAGGTCAGATGGGTTCTGCACATTGCCCAGTTGGGGTGAACATTTGAGTCAAGTTTGAGGAAAATCCTTCCATTAGTATAGAATTTATAAAGCGGACACGACATATTGTATAGAATTGATTGTATGCAAGTTTAAAGACTTAAAAAGGGGCATAACTTTGTCAAAATGCAATACAGAGTTATAAAACTTGACCTGCATATCTTACTTGTGACACCTCATATATCTTTTAAGTTTCAAGCAAATACCTGTGTTAGTTTCAAAAATATTCAAGTACATGTTAAAAAAGAACATTTTCTAAGTCAATTTTTGACCTTCAAGTGTGACCTTGACCTTAAGCCGATACAAAGGTAACATAGGTTCTGCACATAACCTTATTGAGGTGAACATTTGAGTAAGTTTCAAGAAAATTCTTCCATTAGTATAGGATTTATAGAGCGGACAGAGTTATGAAACTTGACCTGCATATCTTAATTTGACACATCATATATATATTTTAAGTTTCAAGCAAATACCTTTTCTATTTTCAGAAATATTCAAATACATGTTAAAATTTAATAATATTATTAAGTCAATTTTTGACCTCCATGTGTGACCTTGACCTTAAACCGGCAAAAGAGTAACATGGGTTCTGCACATTACCTTGTTGAGGTGAACTTTTTTTTTGAGCCAAGTTTGAAGAAAATTTTTCAATTAGTGTAAGACTTACAGAGCGGACACGACATACTGTGTAATATTTGATTTTTTGATATTTGACCTTCAATTGTGACCTTGACCTTGAGCTGACACATGGGCAATATGGGTTCTGCACGTCCCCTTGTTGAGGTGAACATTTGAGCCAAGTTTGAAGAAAAACCATCAATTGGTATAGGATTTATAGAGCGGACACGATAATGGAGACGGACGGACGGACGGACGCGACAAAGCGAATCCATTATAGCCCCACCACATTTTGTGGTGGGGGTAAACTTATGTAAAGTTTGTATTTATGTTGTCGCTGCCAAAACGTTCAAAAATGTTTAAGTTTTATCAGCGCATTTGTATTTTCAATCTTTTCCATCTTGCCATACAAGTAATGTTAAATTTGTCATTTTGCATGTTTTATAGATGTAATGCTGATGGCTGTTTAAGCATAATAAAGCTTTTTTTGTTTTTCTGGTTGGTGTTCTTTATCTTCTATCATTTCTCAATCGATCTGAAACAAATACAGCTCGACAAACTGACTAAATTAGATAGTATATTGCCATATCCTCAAATATTTTGTGAGATGCCAGAAAGCTTTTTGGTATTGTATATATAATCAATATGTAATCAAGGCCAATTTACCATTTATTGCAAAACTACATTAATACACTAACATTTGCAATTAATCATACATCCATTCAGTTGTAAATAATAAAAAAATGTCTGAATGAACATAAAAGTGTCATCAGTTGAAGACCTAATTATTTGAAATAACAATAGAAAGTGGTATTTGGAAATAAATTCCTAGAGAACAACAAATTGTGTGAGACGAATACAAACGTTCAAAATTGTTATTGTCTTAATTTGTACCGGTAGAGTTTGGCCAAAATAAAGATACATTAAATTGACACAGAGAACGAAACATACTAGAAAAATGGCATGTATCAATTCTAAAGGGACTATAACTCAGGAATGTCTGCATCACCTAAAAATCTTGAAAAAGTGTGAATCCTCGGAAGCATTAACAACAGTAAAATTACGTGAAAATTGAAGACTCGGTTTAATTAAGTCATGAGGGATAATGAAAAAGTGCAGATTAAAATGTACACAAATGTACACAAATCGTTTTTCTATCGGTAAATTTGTCAGTACACTTTTTTTATGTTAATGATAATTGGCTTTGTCGAGACTGAAAAATGGAAAAGACAATTAGCAATGTATGAGTTAACTTCTATTCGATGAACAGTCATAATCATGTCGACAGAAGGAATCTGGCATCATATCAGACATCTGTTAAATACCAGTATTTTCCTACATACGTGAGCCAGATACACGAGAAACCGAAACCCTTATTGTATGGGCAAGACAGTGGAATGTTCGTATAAAAAAGATTGTACAAGCAGTAAAAATAACATCTGCCATTTAAAAAATGCTAAATGAATATTTGCCAAAATGTTAAATCTGATATTTTTTCTTTATCTAATGAATTCAATTCATTTTGTAATTACATGGTAACACTTTATAATTACCATTGCTCGAAACGTTCTTATAGCAACATAGAATAATGCAATCAAACATTTATTTTTGTGATTGTAAGAAAATTTTGGAGAAATATACACATATTGCCGAAACAAGTATTGTTAAAAGTCCATTGCGTATTACCATATCGAATTTGCATCTGCGTCGTATAATTTTGTAAACGTCATTGTTTTCTTGGCGAATTGTTATTTGTTTTAACTTAGCACTCTGACTCATAAAAGAAAGATCACATTTTTAACAATAGAATGAGATATAAATAATAAATTGAATTAAATGATTCGATCTGGAACTTTTTTAAGATTAATGTGCGATTTGCACTGTACCAAATTCAAAAACGATAACTCTGTACTTCATTCCAAAAATGTTCTTTAAATTCAATTAGATCCCTTGTCGACTGAAACGATTAGGATAGTTACTTTTGTATGTTTGAGTACACTATGAGAAATGAATACATTTTGCTGTACTTTTGTATTACATACTATCTATGTTTCCATCTCGCGTCAATAAGTTCAAACTCTGCCATTTCTTTAATATATACATGTAATGATCTTTCCATTTCATGTATCAAATATTGCATGGCCATCCTTCGAATCAATAAAATTTGCATGCTATCTTATCATTATGTTCATTCATTTTAACATTTTAAAGTAAATTCTGTTGTAACATTTTATATAACCGGATGTATGTAAATGCTAGCGTAAAATGCTGTTTTTTGCGCTCAGTGAAAATTATAACCTTAATTAAAGTACTGAAGAACAGACGGGCTGATTATCTCTCACTTTATTACTTCGCGACATTACGTGACGTTTTACTGTTGTTTATTATTATCATTAAACAATGTTATCAGTCTGATGAATATAGATAGTTAATATATTTTGCGCTGTCTTGCAAGAATGGAAGGGAAAACGATCTCTTTTACCAGGCTGATTTCCATCGGAGATATGTAGTGTTTAATTTGTTACTTTATTATATTCTCAAAACTAATTTCTAAGAGGAAATTATATAACAATAAAGACAAATCCAATGTGTGTAATGTCTTAATGTGTCTCACCGATGCCAAACTTTTCCTTTGATCAAAAGAGTTGTTATCTTTCATTCATTTCCTCTGAAAATAAACTTTCGCTTCTTTACAATGATATGTTGCCATTTTTTTTTTATGTAACCGCCTGTCAAAAAAGCTCTTGCTTCACACCTTTGTTATACATGTATGAACCTCTATATAATGTAGCATCACGAGTTGTACGTGTTATTTTAAAGAAAACATAAGAAATATTCTAATGTGTACAAATTATGTCAAATATTCAAATGAATGACATAACCTATCCTAATACACTTACCATTCGCAAAAATCACCTCATATTTGACAAAATATCCAGAAAATATATTTTTGTGATAAAGTATTAAGTTCTGCAAGATTGAATGTTCATAATACATTCTAAGTTTCACTTTTTAAAGTTAGTTTTACTAATATTCTTACTTTTGTTTAATTCATTTTACGTCCTTGTAGTTACTTTATAATCGACAATGTCCCAACAAGAATGAAAAAGAACGTATTTAAATAAGTCATAAAAATTATAAGGGGCAACGGTTTTAAGGGACCGAAAGCGAACCCTTTACTATTCATTATCTCGATGTGTGTATACTTACATATATATATATATATATCACCAATCAAATAATATTAAACTAAAATGGTTTTGGTAACGATGGATCGGACATAATTCTAGAATATGAAATTTGTCATTTTAAAGAATATATTGTCCTAACTATAAAAAATGTTTAACAATCTGACTTTTGCTGCAAATTAGACAAATGTTTTCGATAAAAGCTTTAATTTTTACCGGTTACAATTTTATAAAAACATTTGTTACTAAAAAGTAAATCTTCATCGAGCTATAATTGCTTCAACAAAAATATTTTGACAAATCAATAATTGTGTAAATCTCTATCAGGAAGACATATTTACACTTTTTGTGATTTCACTAGCATTATGCAACGCACGAATGATTCATTAAACGAATCCAACAAAACTGAAATAATAAAAGACTCCCTTGGGAAAACAACAATCGTTCTGAAGTCACCATGTTTAGCAATAAAAACCTAAATATGGTGCACCTTTATGATGACTTTATACGTAACCCAAATCTTAAACTCTAAACTTATCCAGGGTAGTCCCATAATACTTATACAAATGTTTTACTCTAAAATTAATTCACAAAAAGGCTCCATTTTTTGCTTTTAGAAACAATCGTCCTCGTTCAATCTGATATTGACTGATGATACATTTAGAGACGCCATGTGGAGTGATGAAAGTTTCTGTTACAGGCCTGAATATCAAATGGTATCAATCCATTACACTAACATCATAAATAATTAATTACATTTTGAGCGGTTCACATATGTTGGTAAAACAGGCCTTTTAACTCTCGTCTCGTGTTATAACTTTGTTGATACCAACAGAGAGCAGTTTCATTGAAAACACGAAAATGTTAAATTTTGAAATGCTATAACATAAAAATTGATGTAACCCTCGGAAAATTACCTTGTTGACAGCGAGTATCAAGCATTTTTCAAGTAAGTGCATTCATTCTATTAAAAAATGTCATTCTTGTTTTATTATTTCTGTGTGCAACAACATGTTTATGATAACAACATTCTTTCATAAGGTGATAGAACTAAAACAATCTACAAGTAGTTAAAGCGTCTATATTATCTATATTTAGAACTTCTTGATTACTGTTTCATTTTGTTGAGAAACATTTACGTGTGCATGTTTATAAAAAATGTATCATTTGCTTGAATTGACAAAAATTGACAACATATTACATACTTTATTAAATATAGAATAAATAACAATTTTAATGAAGGGTTTTGGAATATAGAAAAATAATTTGTTAAATAAATTTCGATTTCTGAAGTCTTGAACAGTATGTTTTCATAATTAATCTCATTTCATGTCATAACCATTGGTTAACTTGATAATTTTAGTTGTTGATTATTTATCCAAACATTGCAAGACAACATTTTTGTCCAATAGGAACTTAACGATTTGTCTTGTGTGTTTTAGGCCAGTCTTTAAAAGCTTGCTACGAAATGTTTATACGCTGGCAAATTGCTTTATATTGTTTCTTGAAAAATACTTACTTTGTACCTTAAAAATGTGCAATCCTCAACTTTCATAATATTATGTTTATTAGAAACTCTAACAGAGCTTTTTTATTTAACTTATTCGAATTACATGTGCTTGACTTGATTCATGTTGTCAATTAGATTAAGATAGATAACAAACAGGTAAAATTAGGGACCTTTTTCATTTCATTTCTTACAGATCAAGGACAAAGTCACAAACTAAATTACTTCAGATAAGTTATGGCACCAGTATTCCAACGTGGAGAAATTTGCGGAACAGTTTACAATATCTCTATTGTCCTCAGCAACCGCTCATGTTCTGATGAAACAGCAAATTACAGCGAAGAAGATAAGCATGCTCTCCTATATATAGTGTGTACGCTTCTCTTTTACTCTCTTGGAATTATGGTTGGAATAGTATCGTACATTAAAAGAGAAAAACATGACATTGAACAAGACAGAATGTTCAATGACTTCCTGAACTCGTTTAAGGATAAGACAGAGGCAAAACATTACCGGCAATTACAGGTACAAGAAACTATTGACCGCCTAGCTGAAATAGACCGGAGAAACAGTAGCATGGCAAATTCTACTAGTACAGGAAAACACATTAGTAATAAAAAGCAACCTGGGGAAGAAAAACGAATGCAAAAGTTTGTTAGTTTGAGCGTTAAGCAACCACCTGTCGCAATGACAACGGATATAGATTCAAGTTGTTCGAAAAAAATAAACAATAAAACATTTACTGAAGAGTCTAAAGAACAAATGGACGCTGAACTCGGTAAAAACATCAGTGTAATCGCTATAAATAAACACCAATTAAACGTAGAGGCCCCTGTTGACTGCGTGAAATGAGATATTACGAAATTCTATTTTAAGTGTACGACAAAGTGAGCGAAATCAGCGCATTACCTTCCAAATAAATTTTTTACACACTCTTTTTTAATTAAATTTTGATATCTGCTGTGACAATCAACTTGTATTGCATTAAACAGACATAATTATAGTATTAAATGTAGAAGATATGCAAATCGCCTGCCGCGGTCAGTATCGATAAAATTGGAATCCAGGTTTTTTTTTTGGTTTTTTTTACTTTTGTTGTTGTTTTTTTGGTATGAATGTGTTGAATAAATCTTTTCTTAAACTACATATCTGCGAGTGAATCTCTAGTTAATGACAAAACACTAATTCCTATTCTTCTTGTTGTTTTATATAGATATTCCGCTCTATTTCTACACAAAAGAGGAAAAGATTACAGTTCAAATGATAATTTCAGTATTTCACTATAATGTACATGTCGTGTACATCCGAAATAAAAAAAAAGCAGAAGAGTAGTCATCTCATTTTATCTGTTATATTGAATTGTAATATAAATATGTGGAACAATCGCCTAGCCACAAGACACATTATACCCAAGAAATGCTTTTATTAAATTAAAATTTCATTTTTCAAAATCTTTTATTTATGTTAGCCTCTTATAGTTTCCGTAATGGGAACTAACTGGTCCATTATTTGAACCGTCTTTTGCTTCTGTTGATTTTTTGCAATCATGCAGTTATAGTGATTTAGTTTATAGTTTCACTTTCAGTACTACTATATTTTCAGGTGGTGAGCATCTAACGTGCTCTAAAGCATTATTTAAACATAAAAAACTAATGTTTGCCTAATCTGAAGAAGGTAAAAAAATCTAATTCGTTTCTGAGGCATAATGTGCATTTACACGTAAGCCTTTATATGCTGCAACGTTCATGTTCATTTTCTTAAATGTGCCCTCATGCACACTTGAGAGAATTAATTGAACGCAGACTTGAGATCTGGATAAAGATAAATTTTGACGAATTAAGACCGGAGCCTGTTTGAAAAGTTACAACAATAGTTGAAATGTAACGAACGGTAAACTAAGAGGAACTATTTGTTGCGAATGCTTCTGGAGGTTTGACGAACAACTAGAGTGTGTAACTTGGTCGCGCAATCAATCTACATTATTGTCTTGGTGAATAGGATCGTAAGTATGCAACCAACATTACCCGGTTCTTTTGAGATTATGTACGAATATTTCCGAAACCAACCAAAGCTTTCCAGAAGTTTCTGTGGACTTTTAGCAGTATCACTATTACTGGAAAACTGTTGTACCGGTCTGAAGAAAATGAAATGTAACATTCTGTAATATCTCGATGAATTATGATGCATTCTTTAACCACATTCCAGAAAAAAGAAAGAAAGATAACATTCCGCTAAAAACATTAACAACAACAAAAATATTTAATATATTGATTCAAATGTAGCAGAGTTTACACGGAGTGATATTCACACAATTTACGAGGTCACACCACACGAACTTGCATGCTCCTTTACATTTACTGTTATTTCATAAGTATCTTTAGATAAGTTGCCCATTTTGAGGAAACCATCCGTCTGTTTTTTCAAACTCTCAGGAGTGGCAGTTTGTCAAAACGTAACGATTTCCTCAAAATATGGTGAAAATGGAAACCTTTTATCTTATATGGGTTATATATTTCTCAATTGATTAGATTTGCTTGGGCGCGCAGTCATGTTGATGATTTTAAAGAACACAACCTATTTACTACTGGCAAACTTCTTCAACAAGGCTACTGCTATCACAAATTACGTAAATATTTTACTCAGTTCTACCAAAATAATTCATATTTAAATTTGAAATGTAATTGTAATCTAAAATCTCTTTTACCGCTAGGTATTAGCAAATCTGATTTCTATGGGGACGTGGTTTATAAACTTAGTAGGTTCATGTGTTAGCCAGGTCAAATTGCAAATATGATACGGCAATCTAAAAAGAAAAGAATATGTTGTTAATTCATTGATTTATTCTTTCTCATTAAAACATGACAGAGACTGCGCCAAATTACCGCAATGAATAACTAACGCAAAGAACGCCCAACATTTGTTAGAGGTGCCTTCATCTCCCTCACACACTCCCCCGAATCAACATTTGCTATCAAAAGAACCCATATCACTTACCAGTAAAAAAAATGCTTCACAGACAATTTTTAAAATGTACAATTATTATTATGTATAATATTTGTGAATAAAAAAATGTATAATTATCATAAAATGAAGACTAGAAACCGAGTAAACAAAAACAAAGAAGATCAAGGAGACATTATTGATAAATATTCTTTTAACAGTTAAGACCAAAATCACAAGTATTTATACAAAGACACTTCATTATTTATTGATTCTTACCCAGGAAACCCAACGTCATTACTCTTAACCGTTTGAACCCGCCAAAAATCCCATGACATGACAAAATGGCCAGTCTGTTCAAATCATACCCTTTTGGTTATAGGAAATTTGACCCATTGCCAACCTGTTCTTTTTAATGACGAACCCTTTGTTCCTGGGCATCTTGACTTATTTCTCTGATTAATAAATGTCTTTAAGTGTCTGTATATTCTTACCAACTTGCTTAGAAATAATTTCCCAATGGTGACAACCAACGAAGACAGTGAATTAACCACGTTTTGGTAAGATGGCTGTAAACGGAAAGAGGCATATGGTCCCCAAATAAAACAATACACGTGTCTTAAACAAGAGCAAAATAGGCGGAAATGAATAAAATGAAATTTTGGAAGAGGACAAGCAGGTATGATGTCTGCATGTCACAGAAAAGACGTTACAATACACGTTTAAAAATATACCATGATATCCTAAGTATGATTCAACAGTATTCTGGTAAGTAAGTATACTGGGAACCACCAAACAAAAGGTTAAATTAAAGGAACTAAAAAGCACAAAACAATGGTGTTGAGATGTCATCACTTTATTGAAATGAATCTTTGCAGTTTTATCAAACTGTTAGGTGTATTGGTTGTCTTTCGTTCTGCAAAATATTTGCCCATATATTATAAAATAAAAATGAATTTTAAATGTGTTCAAAAATTTCATAAACATGCTTTTTCTAGTCCAATATCACATATTTCATCTATGCGGAAAAATAATTGAGAATATTAAGCGGGTTTTTTGTGTGTGTGTTTTTTTTTTTTTTTTAATTCTACCCTTTTTAATCTTTACCCTTATAAATCACGGAACACGGTACAAGATTGCGCAAGATGACATGGGGGCTATTCGCTCAAATGGACACCTTGAATATTTTTAGATCAGAAGCTTGAGTAAATATGAAATCAATTGTTGGATAAATTTAGTTGTTACGTGTTGCTGTGTTAAGTATTTATACCTTCTGTACATAATGTAATTTTTCATGATTTGCATGTTATCTTTTAATTACCATGAGTATCATTCATAGTTTTAGTAAGAGGTAACATCTGGATGAAATGATATTTAAAGCCAGTCATTGTGCCATTTCTCTGATTACCAAAGCGACTCAGCGCTGAAAGCCTTTTAAGCCTTTAACTGAACACATGAATTTCGTGCTTTTTGTGTCAGCAAGATAACTTGTGACCTTCGTAAAGGGACACATGATGGCAAATTTGATTAAATACAAAAATATACGCGTTCCTTTTAAGACATGGTTCATGTGTTGTTTTAATAGACTTGGTACCAACAGAAATTAGAAATGTATGGTAAACTGCAAACATTTCTCATATCTATAAGGAAGACGTTTACTTATGACGTACTTAGTCGGTCATATTATAACATGCTATAAGGGTAACTTTCAAAAACTAAGGATTTGTTCAGAAATACATGTACAGTTATAAGTGTTGGACACCTTATCTTCCCTCCGTTTTATTGAATAAATGCCAAAACGGCGCTGTGTTTTATACCTGTCCACGTGATGTGCATAAAGATCTACACATTATTCGAGAGACTCATATTCTGCTTTTTTGTTCGTTTGTTTCATTTTATGCCTTTTCAGTCATATAGGCGGGTAGTTTCCTAACCATCGTTCCTGGAGAGTTACACCAGTACTAGACTACCTTCTCCGCGCTAAACTACCAAAGCATCTCCCGGGGATCGAACCCACGCCAGAGAGGTAACTGGAGTAGAAGTCATCGACTCTAACCCCTCGACCACGGAGGCGGTATCTCATATTCTGCAAGTAACCAAAAAGTAACAAGTAAAATGGTTTCTTGCGGGGAACATTTTTAATGATTTAAAGTAGTTTCGTTTAACTTTTTTCAACATTGGGGGGGGGGGGAGTAAACGTTTGCATCAGGAATATTGTTGACAATAATTGATCAATTGGAGACTGGTGCCCGTTGAATACCGGAGAATGTCGAAAATAAAAACAATAATTTCTTTTTAATAAAATGATTAAATACCATTGTATGAATAACTTCGTGCAAAAATAAATAAAGTAAACACACAAGTTTACGCAGAAAATATGTCTATTACTGAAGATGCGGTACGAATGTTTTAATTTTGTAGATTTTCACTATAAACAAGTTATTGTTTGTAAAATTTTCAAACACATCATGCAAGTTTTTCAACCTTAAACGGTAAAACAATTATATTAGAAATATCACGTAATAGTGTTATGTTCTTAGTTATGTGTAATTCGGACTAATCCCCTAGAGGCAAATCCGTAACTACCGGGAACGGTATTTAAAGATCAATTAACCAATCATGAACGGTTTAAAGTTTTTAAAGCCAGAACTACCCTTGATCATCATTATTATAATGGAATCGGGAGGGGGATATTGTTTTGGCGTTGTCCATCTGTCCATGCGAATTTCATTTCCACGCTAGTTCTCTGCAACTACTGACTGGAATTCAACAAAACTATGGGAACCTTCATCTCGATGCCTTGTTCCGGTCAGACACTAACTCAGAGTTATGGCCCTTGATAAGTTATGCAGTATGCATATAGAGCAATAATTATTTCTGCGCTACAACTACAGGCTGGAATTCAATTAAACTTTATGGGAACCATTAATACCAAGAGGGGATGTGCATATTGTTGCCATGTTCAGACCAGACCTTTCATTACAGAGTTATGATTAGTTATGTAGTATGCATATAGAGCAATATTGCTATTTCTTTGCAACTGCTGTATTGATTTCAACAAAACTTTATGGCAACCATCGATACAAAAAGGCAATTTACATCTCATTGACATGTCCAGATATTACTATTTAACACGGACTAATGGCTCTGTTATGTCATGTA